ATGTGCTTATTAACTACAACATACCCCTAAGGTCAGTAATGACTAATTTAGAAAGTTGTCTACAGTGATCATTTTAAAACCATACTGAGACAAGGTCACTTGGTTGTGCTTGTAAAACAGAAGAATGCAAAACAGGTGTCATGCTGTCACATTCTTCTACCTGTAAAACCTGGCTTAACACCATAATTAAAAGTTTTAAGCAGAGAGAACTTAGTGCCAATTCAACAGAAAATCTCCCTGCATTTATCTTTTTGAATGTTTGTTACAGAGTGAAGTTAAGTATACTAACATAGGAATTAGTACAAGGCATTCTGAACTGACTGATTCATCAAAGAGTTTAACACCTTTATTTTTGTGAATGTGTGTGTATGTGCATGTGTACTTGTGAGAACGCAGCTGATAAAGCACGGTAACCTAGTAGCACAGTTCCAAAATAAACTGTAATAAGTTGCAGTACTAGGCACAACTACAGTCAGCTACAGCCATTCCAAAGAGGAAATCTGTAGTATTACATAAAAATGGCCTCAGAATTGCAGTTGTTATTAAAGGTTCTCTGGCACTGTTAAGTCTTAGTATTAAAGCCATGGCTCAACAGCACAAAGATCATCAGAGAGTAGGTTAGAAAATTTAAGCTGGAAAATAGAACGTCTTTCTTACCTATCCTGTGATATACACATAAACATACATAGACTCTGTTCTACTCAGTTTCGATCTTTGACTTTGTATGTAAATAAAAGCAGATCAGCTCTGAATTAATAGGACTGAAATAACTAGTTCATAGCAGAAAACAATGGATGAGATATTTTGCAACCCCAAATTAGTATGTGATATTTCATGAGGGTTTTTTACACCGGTTAAAACTCAACACACTTACTGTGCCTATAAAGCTGCCTAAATATTTCTTGCAGTTGATTCACTTATGAGAAATCTTTAGCAAGATGTGTAAAACATTTAAAAACTACTTTCTCTACTTGCTAAATAATAGTACAGGGTTATATAACCTACCATAAAAGATTTTTTTTTTTTTAATAAAAGAAGGAAAAAACAAGTAACTTTAAATACAAAACCACCTATATTTAAAGATCCATCAAGGCTGTGTCAGAAGTGACAGAAGACAGGAAAATAGAATGACATTGACATTCCAATCTTAATTCACATCACTTAAAATTGGCAAGCACTTTCTCTTAAAGTTCTGAGTTTTGTGGCTCTTGCAGAACGTTGCAGAACTGTGCAAAACCCCACTGATCTGTTCCATAAAGAGTTAAGTATGCACATACATATTTTGCTAGAGCTGAGCAAACCTAGTTCTGCCCTTCCTTGAGTGACATAAATTCACTGAAGACTAATGGGCAAACGATAGTGAACAGTGCTGAAGCTTATCTGAACATCACTGGCAAAGCGCCCTCCAAAAGAAAAGGGACTGCTTTGTCAGAAAAGCTGCATACGTTTGTCTGCTAAGGTGTTGAATACCTTTTCTTTCAGACCAGCAAATCTAAGACAGGGCTAAGAGAACAAAAAACCCTGCTGTTATTTTCAGAATTCAGTTTCTTCAGACAGAGTATTTATTTTGTAACTGGACTAGTCCTTCTCCATCTTGAGGATCTGATCCTAAAATTACATGCTGAATCTGCTCATCGTATTTCCAGAGATGCATACAGCCCTGCAGAGCACCATAACAGTTCTACTCTCGAGAAGCTTTTGAGTACCCGGGTGACAGGCATTTATAGACTGTGCAGTCATACTTCTGAAAGTCAAGACCTGCTTGGCGCACATGAACGTCCTCCATTTCAGAGGAGATGAAAGAGCAGCAGTGACTAGTGAAAAACACTCACAACCAAGCTTTTAAAAGTATTTTTTGGTGCAGAGAGCTTTAGATATAAGCAAAGCGTTCTTTTCACAATTAAGCAGGTGTTTTACCTCTGTATCTTCAGAAGATATTTAGAGACCTAATACCCACTGGAGCACCGATTATAATCCCTGCAAATGTGAACATTCCAGTGGAAATGAATTCTGTGACAAAGAAGAAGGGAGTATTTAAATGCTTAATGATGTATTTTTGGTCATAGAAAAACAAAATGTGGAAAGGATATATTTTGGTCCATTTCCTCAATGATTTATTATAGACAAAAATGGCTTCAGAATCACCCACCACAAAACACATAGTGGTCAGTTAGCAAGCACCATATTGGAAGCAGAGCCTGGTTACACACTCTAGTTCAAAACAGAAAGACGAGTCTCTGTCCTGCATCTCCTGAACCCTGGTGGAAGACAGATGCCATCACCACCTCCAACAGGTAGACAGATGCTGTCACCACTCTCACTCTGCTCCAGCACCCAGCGGCCCTGAGCACTGGACCAGCCTTCAGAGGTTGGGTGAGCAAAGTAGAACCATCGTGGAATGTTCCGTCAAGACCTTGGGCTGCTCCACAGCTGCAGGCCTCATCCAGGGCACCAGGAATGGTAAAGAGATTCTGCTACAGAAAAGATAGCTATGTGTAATTTAGCTACCATTATTAGAGCATTAATTGCAGACTGAAAGTTTTGAGACTACAGATTTGGAATACAGGCATTGAAAATGACGTGACTAAACCGCATCTATTTTGTATGCAGGTTTAAACTCCTGCTCATCAGGAATACAAACTGCTTGAAGGCAAATTCAAGCATGACAGGTGCAGACAGGGAAAAATTCTGAGCCTATCGCTCGCATGTGCATTAGTGCATGGCATTGTCTGCAACGGGGCTTGGCAGAAAGCTGCCAAGGGGTCCTTTTAGGACACAGCACCACTCGGCACAGCATCGTTGTTCTCTGGGAAATGAGGCTCCTCTGTTGCAGTGTCTGAGTGCTGAGATGTGATGGGCGGCGCCAGGGGCGCATTTCCTGAGGCCTGCAGCCCACAGAAGGTGATGAGACCACGGCCGAGCGGTTCCTCAGATCCAGATGCAGTCCTTCTCACAGGTATTTTATAGACACTCTTATTGTACCTGCAAAACCCTGGCCCTTGGATCCAGCAATCCTTTGCCCATTGGATACTGACAGAAAATGCCCTCTCTGAATGCCAACATATCTTCAGAATGTATCGTGTAAAGGTCAGATCTTTAAGCCTCACTCTTGAGAGAAGCTGAGAATAACGTCCTTTCACCGGAGCCACTTCCAAGAGCAGATTTTGTCCCTTAAGTATAGCCGGCAGGAAGAAGACTTAAATTATGTCACGTTCGGCAACTACAAACATGACGCATCTCCGCCTGCCGCGGCCACGTTGCGGGGTAGAGGAGACAAACAAGACGGCGGCGAGCAGCGCGTGACGCGAGACCACGGTATCTGACAGCACTCTGTCCGCGCGGTAACCCGCCGAACGCGGGACAGAGGCCTTCGCCAGTCCCGCACCACTTGAGGCTGCCGCACCAGCCCCGCGGGAGGGCAGCACCACCCGCCTCAGCCCGGCGCGGAGCTCCGCGGCCCCGGCAATTCCGCGATCGGTGCGCGCCGCCCGCCCGGCGGGGGTCGCCCTCACCGCCCTCAGGCGCCGCCGCCCCTCGTTAGCGCGCGGCCCTCTCGGCGGGCACGGTCAGGCGGCCGCCGCCGGGTTGGGCGGGGGCAGGGCCGCCCCTCCCGCACCCCCACCTCCACCCCACAACTCCCCGGTCCCCGCTCCCGCCGCGCCGCCACCCCGCGCGCAGGACGCGGCGGGAGCAGCAGCGCGGCAGCCGACACCAGCCCACGTTACTTTGATTGACAGCTGAACAAATGTTTCCCCTGTTCGAACGCCGGCGCTATGGAACGGCGGCGATCTCAAAGCTCCGCCTCAGGCGGCGGGGAAACAGAAGAGGAGAAGCCCGGGCTGCCGCCTGATTGGTCGCGGGCCCGCGAGGCGTCAGGTTCCCACGTGGGGCCCCCCCCCCCCCCCCCCCGCCCTCTATCTCAGGGCCCCTGTGCTCATTTGTCAGCGGCGAAATGATGGGCATTAATACAGAACAGCGATTAACGCGAGGGCGCCGCTGATTGGTCGCCGGCGACGCCCTTCGTGGGCAGAACGAAGAGGGGGGCGCGCGAGGGGGGCGGGAAGCGCCGCGGTGCCCGACGGGAGGGGAAGTCCGGCGGGCGGAGGCGCGCGCGCGAGGGGCGGGGAGGCCGCCTCCCGAGAGGACTACGGCTCCCAGGGTGCCCCGCGGGCGGTGGCCTTCCGGCCGCTGTGAATATGTATCAGAATGTTAATGACGAAGCGCTGCTAAATTTGGTCAAAGGAGTCACCTCGGCAGAGCGTGCGGTGGGAGCGGCGAGGAGCGGTGGCGCCGGGCGCTGGGCAGGGCAGGGCTGGGCAGGGCAGTGTGGGCCGGGCCGGGCCAGGCCAGGCCGGGCCGGGCACGGCGGTCTGTACGCGCTGCTGCCGCTTCCCGGAGTTTGGACAGGCGGAGGAGAACCAGAAATCAAAATACAAATAAAACAGCGCGGACCGTACCGTCTTCGTCCTCTCTCTCTCTCTTTTTAATTTTTAAATTTTTCTCTCTTTTTTTTTTTTTTTTTTTTTTTTTTTTAAAATCTTGTTTTTAACCGATCCTCCCGAGCGGAGCCCCGCGATGCGGTAGCAGCAGAAGCGGCCCCCGCGCCTCGGCCCCGCGGCAGCGCCGCCCCGCTCCGCCCCGCCCGGCGCCGCTGCCCCGCCGCCGGCACTAAAAGTTTGCGGGAGGCTGAGAACTGCGAACGGGGACCTTCGGCGCAGCGCCCCCGGCCCAGGGGCTCTCCCTGCTTGCCTCCTTCTCCTCCTCTTCGTGCTCCTCCTCTCCCTCCGGAGCGCTCGAAGCGGCGGTGCTCGGGGAGAGCCGCTCGGCGCCGCCCGCCCCCGGGGGATGTGGCAGCGGCCCCCGGGCCCCGGGGACGCCGCCGCCGCGCCTCGCTACCGCTGCCGCTGCCGCCCGGGGTGCCCCGCCAGCCCCGGGGCGGCGGGGCCGGGGCGCCCCTTGTTGTCGCAGCGCCCTAGCGCTGAGCGCTGAGCCCTGAGCGCGGCCGCCAGCGCCCCCCGAAGCGGCGTGGATGATCCGCGACCTGAGCAAGATGTACCCGCAGACCCGGCACCCGGTGAGTGCGGCGCGGCCCGCCGAGTTGGAGCCATTTTCTTATTGTTGTCCGCCGCCGCCGCCCCGAGTTGCTGCCCCGCGCGGCCCTCCCGGGTCCCGGCGGGCGGCACCCCCGCTCCCCGAAACCCCCGAGGCCATGTCGGAGAGCACGGGGCCGGGGGGCGCGGAGCAACCGAGGGGCGGCGGAACGACCGTGTCGCTTGCTTGCAGGCTCCGCACCAGCCAGCGCAGCCCTTTAAATTCACCATCTCCGAGTCCTGCGATCGGATTAAGGAGGAGTTCCAGTTCCTGCAGGCGCAGTACCACAGGTAACGCTGCCCGGTGCCTGCCGTGGGGTGGCCGTGCTGTCCTTCGTCTGTGCCTTCTCGGGTGGGCGCGGGTAGCGGCCGGGCCCTGCCCCTCTCGCGCCGCACCGAAGCTGTCCGTGCCCCGCGCTGCCCCGCAGCAGCTCGCTACCCTTCTGCCACCCGGCAATGTAAACCCCCCGACGAAAGCGCGGTAACTTTTGTGTCCTCGGAGCGTGGATGTACTTTTGCTCCGAACGAAGCGGAAGGTGTTCATAAAACTCGTGGAAACAAAAACTTCCCAAACCAAACCGCGGGTTTGTTCTGTGACTCCTCAGGCTTACCGCCATAGGTGCGAGACTGTGTGCGGTGCTTTCCCTGTCTCTTTTCGTCCGGGAGCAGCTGCACGGGAGTGAGGAGGGTTTTTTCTCTTTCGGGAGGGACCGCGGATCTCCCCTCGGAGCCCTGGGCAGGAGCCGGGACTTACCTCTGTCTGTCTGCACGTGGGGAAGCGCTGGGAAGGGGAGACCCCGAGTGTGGGGGGGTATTGGTTGGCGTGATGAAGCACCCTTGCTTTTCTTGTGTCTTGCACAGTTTAAAGCTAGAATGTGAGAAGCTGGCCAGCGAGAAGACAGAGATGCAGCGGCATTATGTCATGGTAAGTGAGCTGCAGAGCAGTTAGAGCGTCTGTGAGCGTGGTGTGCTGAGACCGAGATGCACTCAGGTTGCTGGAGGCGAGCAGAGAGATGACAGCGAGTGCTGCTGCTGTGAGGCTGCATCAGTGCTCCCATCACTAGTTCTTAGTTCAGGGCTTGTAACTTCTTTGCAGCAGCCATACTCTGTGCAAAATCTGCCGCTTAATGTCCCGAGCAACGGAGGACGTGTCCTCACCATGCTGGCACATCCCTTGCAACTCCAGCAGTGCTTCTGGGGATTAATGTGGTTATTCCTGCTGGTTTCCCTCTGCTGTCATAAAGTGCTCTGGGGTAATGCTTTTATTTCTATCCCCCCCCCTCCCCCCCATACTGTGTTCAGAGTTGTGTAGGTATATCTGTGGCCCAAAGCCACCTGCCTTAGAAGAGCTGTTGTTCCTGTGCTGCTGTGCATTGCTCTACTGAACTGGGAATGGTGGGGCTTTGAGTGTGAGGAGTTTCTTAGAGGGCTATGGACTGTGTGGCCAAGTGAGGCGCGCAGGAAAACGTCTCCCTGCACATAATTGCATGATGGATTGTGTTGACTCTGAGGAGCCTGTGCTGCCCGCTACCTTGTACATCTACAAAGGATTAGCTGCTTTCTATATGTGCCTGACAAATAACACCCCAGTATCCACAAAAAAAGAGTAAATAACCTTGAAAAATTCTTAACCAGGACCACAGGCATATGTTAAGGCTTGCATTTGTCTTTTTCATGCTTGATTTGCTTAAGTCCTGAGTATGGTGTGCCACTGAGCTGTACGCTGACCCTACTCCCTGTGATGGGGGATGTCGGAGTGGCATGTCTGCCTGACTCTCTGGCCGATGTGCTTCTGCCTTCTTTTCATCCCTGCCATCCAGTCACAGCTTTTTTGTGTTTTTAATTTAAAATATCGAATAACTGTTCGGTGAGTTGTCTGCTGATTTATACGTCTGTCTGGCTTCAGGCACTTCAGGCTTTTTTTTTTTTTTTGGCATCTTTCATGTGTGCTAGGGAATAAAATCTTGAGCGTTTTCTATGTGCTTTTCTGCTTCTAATCTGTAACTCTGGCTGTGATTACTTTTCGTGATTTTTTTGTTGTCTGGTTTTTTTGCTTGTTCTATAGCCATCCTTTGTAGATTTGCCAAGAAGTGACACAGATAAAATAAAAAGCAAGAAAAATGGGCAACTGCGACATGCTGTCAAATTTCAGGAGCTCTCCTGGCTAGTAAACATTTCTGGGTCTCTGTCTTTGTACGGATGATGTCTGAGTCAGAGCAAATTTTGGAGTGGCTGTTATAAATTGTAAGGTCTAACAGTCGTTTTCTTCTTTCTTAGTATTATGAGATGTCCTATGGGCTGAATATAGAAATGCATAAACAGGTAGGTAAATATTTTGCTTTGTGTAAGAACGCTAACTGTAATTTCTCCCATCAGCCTTAACCAGATGTCTGTTATGTGCAAGTTGCCTTAATTGCATGCTGAAGTGTGCAGGAAATTTTGTGTGCTCCTTGCTGGCCCAGACACCCCGTGTTTGGCTATATGGAGCACATTGTGTACAGGGGTAAGACGGGCACAACCCTGAGTCACCTTGGCCTTGTGCTGCTGGGGCCGCCTTTTTGGAGTGATAGCTGCATTTTGAATGCATATCGGGTGTCAAGGGACATGTGTTTGGGTGTGGAAAGGGCTCATTCTCAGTTAACTGGGGCTGTTTTAAGCTGGAGCTACAGCGGCAATCAGTGTGCAGCCATGTTGCTGTCTCCCTCAGGTTGCCTACCAGCACCCTTCTCAAAAAGCAAGTGTCTCAGCACGTCAAACACGAAAGGTTAAAGGAGCTTTCCAGAAGGATGATGTTTTGCTTGGTTCTATGCCTTGAAGTCTAGCACTTAGGCTGAGATTAGCAGGAGATTACTGGTATGGAGCATGGCAGTGTAAATCAGAATTTCTTATTCAGTAATGTGTGTTTTTAACCTTCTCTGGAGGAGAATGAATTAAACATCTGACCTCTTTTCCAGCGAGAGAACTTTTAATATGGTGGAGTTTAATACTGACAACTCATTTTAGCAAACGGTTGAGCAGTTCACCCATGTTGCTGGAAAGGGTGAATGACAGAAATAAATGGTTGAATGGGAGAAGAAACACCGTCTGACAATTGGCTTGTATGTGTTCCTAATCTAAGTAGTGGATGTGGAACTTCTCTGGGTTGTGGAAATAGAATTCCTTTATCTCAGTGAGAACAAACCAAATTCAGATTTTTTTTTTTCATGTTTGTTATATTTTGTGTCCCGTTAGCACTCCAGTACTTCCAGTGCTGATGAAGGCCATTGATGTTAGATGGTAGGCTAGTACAAAGGCAGAGGGTTTTCTGTCCTTGGAGTGGTTTGCCTGTGATGCTGCAGAGCTCTGGAAGCCCTGCATAGACCTGTGGAGCGTGAGTGCAATGCCTGGCTTGCAGCCAGGCCCTGTAATGCTGTGGGGTGGAAGATGTAGGGTGGCGGAACAGCTGGGCTGGCTAGGTCCTGTCTGAAAAGCAGAGTTGGTGTCATGCACAAGAACAATTCACCCAGTCCAGAGTCTCTGCAGGCCACCTACGTGGTGTATTCTTACTTGCGTTTGAGAGCGGCTATTGCAGTTAGACTTGTTTATATTTCTGGGTGCTTTGTACGTACAGCAATTAGTTGTATGTAGACTTCAACTAACCATGCAAAATGATGTGGGACAGTATTGGCTTGCAAGTAAAATGTGTAATTAGTTTGTTTGACGTAGGGGAAACTCACTTAAAACTGATTTTAATTTTTAATTTCTAAATGCTTCAGAAATTGTGTATGATTACGGCAATGGAGATGTCAATGATATTCTGAAAAAAATTAAGTCCCTAGCTTCAGCTAAATATGAGGATGACAAAGGACCCAAGTTTTAATTAAACACCCTTTTCCAGTACTGCTCAGTCTGTTCGAATTAGTAGTTCAAGTAGTCTACTCTCATGCAAAACACTTAAATATTTTGTCAGATGTTGATTCAAATCAGCTGCGGCTATGAAACTCATTTGTTATCATTCCTAAATCTGATATTCGTTTGTATCTTCGTGTCTCCTCTGCTCTTCCCACAGTGTTTTTTTCCCTTTCTGCTCTTGCTACTGCAAATGCAACATATTTCCCATTTTGCTTTGTGATGGCAGCATGGGGGCCCAATTTTGTGTATATAGGGAGTTGATTGTTTCATTTGATGTGCGTGAATCTTTTTTAAATTCCACTTTAAATTCCCTTTTCTTCCTCTCAGATCTTTGAATTTTCCTCGCCTGAAATTGAGCGATTCACTCTTCTTTTTTTCTTCTTCTATTCCTCTTTCCCCCCCCCCAGCTTTCTAAATTCAATCATATCAAAAATCCTGAGGGCAGTTTATCACATTATGAAATACAGACAGCCCTGCAAACCACCTACTTATTATATTTTCTTCCTTTTTTTTTTCTTTTTTTTTCACTTTAGCACAGAGGCATATCTGTCTTTATTTGTTTTTGTGGGCAGACAGCTTTGGTTCCTCTTAGGTTCTTTCCAGATGTACTGCTGGATGCCCTTGTAATGGAAAGCAGGCAATAATGCGGTGAAGTTGCCCTTCGGCGTAATTGGGCCGAGTTCTTGAGATCAGGTTAGGCTTATTCACTTACTAGATTTGCGTCTCAAAGGGTTCAAGAGCAGGACTCCCTGGAGTCCTTGGAAATACCCTAGTAATTGGTGGCCCTGATATTTGAAACCTTTGTGTATTTTTCTGTTAAAGCTTCTGTTCTTCTTGGCTGCTCCCAGCCACAGAGTATTTATTTTTAGAGAAATTTTTCACTGGAACAGAAAATGATGGCTGTGATGGAGTCATGACTCTGTGACTTAGCAAATTGATAAAAGGATAAACGTGGAGCGCGGCAATAGTGTGTGTGCATGCCGGGCAGGGGAGGAGGGGGAGAGCGTTGCTTTCCCACCCCTCGTGTGATGCTCATCATCAGTCATCCTGTGTTGATTTTGATAGAAGACTATTAAAGTGAAACCTATGGGGAATTTGTCATTCTGAAAGGAAAGCTAATGTAATTAGTACCAATTAAAGTACATTTAGTAAATTGGATTTAATCTTAATTAAGCCTGCATAATGTTGCCAATTTTAAACAATTATGTTTGAGAACATAATTAATTTAAATTTTGGTAACTGAGTAAATAGCATTAGACTGGTAGAATTAGTCATTTGTAGTTTTTTTGTTTTTGGTTTTTTTTTTTTAAGACAAGTGTGGGGTGTGTTGTGACATGTGGTGTTATAGCCTAAGACATTAAGCTAATTTTTGATATTCTCTACTGGGATCAATAGAGCTTCAAAATAGACACATTCAAAAAAAAAAATAAAAAAGACAGTAGGTTGGGGATTTTGGATTGCAGTATGAACAGATACTTCCCTGCGATTTTAAATCTTAGTGTTGGAATAAAGGAGAATGTGTGAGTGTGATCTAAAGAAGTTCATTTCCTACAAAGTTGCTTTTTTTTTTTTTTTTTTTTTTTTGAGGCTCAGTGAATGATTTATGAATGAATACTTGACATACTGCGCTATGTTTCTAATACAGTGTTGCTACTTGTTGATGGTCATTTGGTTTAATTTCTGAAATCAGGCTGTTTTAATGTTATAGTAAACAGTTCATTTAAATTGCTGTAATCAAACATGCTTTCTGAAGGTTTTAATTGAGAGTTGTAATTATCACTTAAAATAAGTGTCTGTATTTGGCTCCAGACAGCAGATATTTGTGAATGAGACTGATGGAAGACATAAGCAAGATAGAGCATTCTCTTCTAATTTCCATTCTCTTTTTAGAGGTGGAAGTATGTAAATGCTGATTTTCTCGTTTTGGTCAGGCCTACATCTTTGAACTAATTCACACATTGGAATGCTGGATTTCAGCATTTTTGAAGGCAAATTCAGATCTCTTAAGAAGCTGTGTGTTGAAAAATAAATGAAATTACTTCTTAAGATCACAGTAACAGAAAAAAAACCCAAACCATTTCAGTTCAATCCATGTAAATTTTATTAGAAGACTTGGGCAACAACCATTTGAGTGCTGCTAAAATATTAATTGGATAGAAATGAAAGGGCTCTACTAGCTGATAGGATATCATAATCATAGCTGCAGTAGTCGATGGTAAATGATGATAAATGGCATTAGGAACCTTTTAGCAAACTGTAATAACTATGAGGAGGGAAGCGGTATGGATTTGCATTATATCTGATACCCTCTAGTACCAAGTGGATTGCCAATACTGCTTGTTTAGCATTTTCTAAGGGCAATAGGATATTGATTTCTGACTTACAAGGAACGGCTCTATTTTCACCATTGAAAAGTATTGCAGGTTGTTAAGAAGAAATTGACTTGAAGAGGCCTGACTGCTGCCCATCATGGAGCAAATAAAGCAAAACTGCCGAAGCATGGTGGAGCAGTGAGATGGGGCCCTCAGCAATTTGTTGCTATTAATTTACCATGCTCGACAGCAAATCAATCGGCATCTACTTCATCTGCTGGAGAAAACGCTGTCCAGGGCAGATAAAAGGCCCTGCGTGGTACGGGGAATAGACTGGATTGGCCAAACGGATGCTGCAGTTAATGTGTAAATAAGTGAAATCAAGGCCACTGTTGCCGAGAAAGCTGTTTTTAATTAGGTTGGGGCTTTATAGTGAGCTATTTAAGAAAATAGTATAGAGCTTGGAGAGTAAGGGGAGATTTATTGCCGACTGAGTTAATATATGGGTTGTACGACATCCCAGCCTTGAGTCTGCTTGCTTCTTAAGCCTTAGTAAATTATTTTGGTAAAAGGGTAAAGATGGGAATCAATTTGTTTAATTTAGGGCTGAGTTTTGGCCATTTTTCATCTTCGCAGCCATAAAACACATACATCACAGGGAATTGGTTTGTGTGTACGCTGTGTATGTAACAGAAAAGCACTCTTTGTTTCATTAGCAGTGGGCTAGGCTTGGCGTGGATCTGTGTGCACATGTGTGTGCAAACCTTGTTTTTCTAACAGGCAGCAGCTGAAGGTATATTCTGTGTGAAGAATAGCTGGAAAGCCAGCTAACATTTTACTGGCTGAATTTGTTCTCTGTTATAAACAGTAGGAAAGATTTAACAGAGATACAGGCAATGGGTAGTCAGAACTGGAAAACTTTAGAATGAGAAAAATTAGAAGTGAAATTTTGAAGACTGCAGCTCACCCAGGACTGTTAAGAAGGAAGAGAAAAACAAATGACTTTTCCATCAAAGTCACAAAATGCAAAAAAGAGATTGTCAAATCGGTTTGACTACTGAGGCTTTTTTGTCTGAGTTTTAGGTTATTTAACCTCTGAATCCAGTGGAACAGCTTACA